AGGCACACTCTTTAATGTTTTGTTAATAATATTGTTTGGTACACCAAAACTAAATAACCTGTTGATGTGTGTGTGTGTATCTTATACTAGAAATTATATAGTGGATTGGATGTTATTCAAATCTTTTGTTTACGGAGGTGACTTTTTTTTCACCTGTAAGATTAGATATGGGGATTGGAACATGGAAGAATCCTGATCACTTCTATTAAGTTTGGATGGAAAATTGGGACGGAAGGTAAGAGTTGTTAAAAATAAGCAAAGCAGTGCTACTAAATCCAACATCAAACTTATCCAATTAATTAAAAAGCATTGTTTTAACTTTAAATTTATCAAATTAAATCTTATATTGATTTTTTATTTTTATTCATTTTTAAAAAGCATTGTTTTAACTTCTTTTTTTTATGAAAATAATACTATTTTAATTTAGTCGGATTAACTCACACCCAAACTTTAAATGAATTATAAGTCAAGCGTAATAACTTCGAATTTGATTTCCATTCTCATCTTGCATATCTCGATATGAGAAATGCCTCTACTTCTACCTACCAACTTTATGGGTCAAGAACAGATTGGTTTTGGGATCAATCTAACGTGTAACGACCAAAGGGAGGAGGAGCCTTTCATGAAACTTATGGCAAGCTGTCCTTTAAACTCTTAATTCTTTGTTATGTTATTTCAATTTTACAAATCTCCTAAATTCATAATTCGAGCTCGAGCTATAATTAAATGAACTCCTATAAAATTGTAAATTACCTTGCACAAACGAATGCTGTAGCCTCCAACATGGCCTGATCTCTGTAAGTGCATAACAGATTTTGAACAATTTATTGTCGATGACGCCTTCTTCCGGCGAAAACCATTGACATACTGATGAAGGAAGTTCGTTTTCTCGTTGACTGAAGAAACAAGTGAAGAAAGTCCGTTACATTTTCAAGATACAAAACGCAAGGATTCACCCTGACAGTACCAAAGTTTCCTTTTCTGAATATTTACAGTCCCGTCCCATCTTTAGAGTTGTTGAAACACAACAAAAATCCCCTCAGTTCAGACCCAGCCATTTCTTAAGGGTCAGTGCAGCTTCCCTCTTTTTTACTTGACTTTCTGTCTGGATTTTAGGAGTTTTCCCCTTGTACAGTGTTTTATGGTACTTCAAGTAGAGGGTTCGATACTTGTATTTGTCAATGAACATTTTCCCTTTCTCCATCATATCCACGACTTCATTTGCTCGAGAAAAAAATCCACCTCTCACAAATGTATAAAGTACTGAATCAAGTAGTTCCTGGTCAAACTTCATTGAGGTTGCTGAAGCAATAGATTTCATTTCGCCCCAGAGCTCTGTTACCTCTATATATTTTCCCCCAATGGCAGCGTATCCAGTCACCATAGAATGAAAAGTTTGAGCATTTGGGGCATGGCCCAGACTCCTCATCTTCTTCAAAGCCTTTTCGGCATCTTGCATAAGTCTCTTCTTGCAGAAAAAGTGGATCACATTATTCCAATCATGAACTCCAGAATCTGCAGCCTGCTCTTCTTTGATTTCCCGCAAAAGCTTTGCCATCAACCCTGCTTCACCACCCTCTGCACATCCCTTAACCAACATCTCAAATTCCTGATGGCCAGTTCTAGGTATCTTAGACTCTTTCATCTCCTTAAAAATATGGAGGGCTTCCTTAGTATCTTTTTGGATCACCCGAAACTCAATCAATGCATTATAACTACTCGAGTCTAGCTGGATCCCTGCTCTACGGGCATCTCGTAGAAGTGCAGTGACCTCCCCTGTTCGGTTTGCTTTACAATATGCTTTCAAGAGTGAAGCATAGACAGAAGAACTCGTTCTGATCCCAGCCAAACGCATCTCATCTAGCAGGTCATGTGCCTGATCTAGCCACTCAAGTGAAATGCATGAATTGATGACATGAACCAAAGCTGAATCGTCATTGGAAGCTGGAGAATCTTCTTTCTCTGCCTTGATGAGAAATGCAGCCAACTCCTTGGTCTTGCCCGATTCCAGGAAAGCTTTAACCAGCTTCACATAAATTTTTTCAGTTGGCTGGAGAATACCACGTTCAGTTGTAATCAATTCAACTTGCATCTGCAACTCAACTAACAGAGTACTGAGAACTTCCTTTGCCTCAGTGTCAAGTTTCAAGAAATTCCGGTCTCTATAGAACTCTTCATAAGAAATCGTAAGATCTTTGTTTGATCTATTGTTCCCTAAACCACCTGATTCTTTGCGGCTCAAACTTTCCTGAGAAACTGGGCCTGGAGAAGACTTCTTATCAATTGGGAACAACAGTGCAGCCGTAGCAAATGAATTCCGTGCTTCCCTTGCTTTCCGAAGCATTATCAAAACCATGTTGGAAGCAGCATCAAGATCCCCAAATTTCAAGTGGCATGTTAGTAAACAATTATAGAACTGCCGAAACTGCGTATCGGTTAAACTTTGGGATTCATCTATATGTCTCTGAAGTTTTCTAAGTTCTTCTCTTCTCCCATTCCTCTCATATATATGTGCCATTATGATCAATAAATTTGTGTCGGCTCTGATGCCAATTCGAGGCATCATGTCAAGAAGCTGCTCTGCTTTTCTAGTTGTTCCAAACAAGAGACATCCGGTCAAAGCAATGTTCATAGCAATAGTATTAGGCTTCATGGCAATCAAAGGTGCATTAATCTTTTTACGTGGGTCCACCCTACCATCTTGAAACAAGTAACCTATCTCGAGGATGAGCTCAGCAGCTATGTAAGCACCAGGAGCTGTTAGTGACATATGAGCCAAGATTGCAGACCAAGCAGCCACCGGAGGATATTGTTCCATTTGTATCAACTTTCTCAGGACCGTTGATGCTGGAACTGGCAAACCACATTTAGCAAGAACAAAAGAGAGATAGATCAAAGGCTCTTTCTCCAGCAGATGCTGCTTGCTTTCCTCAATAGCCTGTTCTACCAAGCCATATGCCTTCTCAAGCCATGGAACACCAAGGCTTGCAGAATAACTTGTTAGAAGCTTATTCACAATGGACTTTCGAGGAAACCCATCCATATGCAAATGCTGTTCAAATAACTTCCATGCATCATTAAATCTATGCTCATCTATTGCATTCTCTATTTCCATACATAATTTAGCTGGGTCTCGAGCCTGGACCAAAATTGTTCCAGGCAGACTCGAAAAGGAATAGCTTTGATGATTGAACCCACCCTGGATTCCTAAAACAACAGCAGGACCATTTAGGTTGGTCCAAGAGGACTCAAGAAACTCATTGACGGGCCTGCTGCTCCAAGAAACTAGCATTCGGCATCTGGAAACCCGAGCAGTCTCATGTCCACTATCAGAAAGCAAGGAAAATAAAACTCTAGGGGACAATGCAACAACTTGATGCTTCAATTTCCTGGTAGATAGCATTCCTTTTCTATATATGCTTTTCTTTACAATAAAAAAATAATCTCAACTAGAAATCATGCGTTGAAATGGACTGAAACCTGCAATATATATTATTTTTTAATTAACAAAACAGAGTTCAATGTTATGATTTACATAAAAAAGTTCAAATATATACGAACATACCTAACCTTTGTCAACCATTCATGCAGGTAACAAGCAGGACCATGCCAAGCAAAGATGAGGTCAACATACCTAAAACAAATCAACATTAAAAAATAAAAACAAGTGGATCTTTTTCTTATGAATTCATTCAAAACAAGCAAGCAAAAAGACAATAATTTTTCAATTTAAGATACTGATTCTACTTTGAAAATTTCAAGCGTCTTTTTCTAACATTTAGCAATCAACAGCACTACTAAGACAAAATCCTATAGTGTATGTCTCGTTGACAGGCGGAGGAGACATCATTCTCATGCGAGCAAGAACAAAAGGAAAAAAAGATTCAAGTTCCATTTCATTTTCTTCGGTTTCTAAACAAACAAAATGGAGGGGAGAAAACATGAAAACTATTAAGAAACCTTACAAGAACAGTTTCATATCTCAGTGAGGCATTTCATCGAACAAATGGGAGGGGCAACAGCTATACGTGGATGCCGAAGCCATACAACGTTTTAACCAGATCAGTGGAAACGGGAAAGGGAGGAACTTAGTGAGGGTTTGAAAATACTCACGGAAATTATCATCTTGCTGTCCCTGAAGGTTGGCAAAGGGAGAGCTGAACGTCTCTGAAAGCGTGAAGATCAATCTTTCATTGTTAGTTTGGCTTTGCTGGCTCGTTGCTGCTTTGTAAAACAAGAGAACAGAAACAATCTAGCAGCGGTTGAAAAAGAATTCAAAGCACTGAACTTGGGCTTGTTCACTTTCAGTCTTAGGCCCTAAAGGATTCCTGGGCCTTTTTAATTAGAAGTCCAAACCCATTGAATAGCATTTTATTTTACTGGGTATTATAATTTAGTTTTCACAAACAAAAACTAAGAAAATTGAAGTTAAAAGAGATAAAGTTGAAGATAAAAGGAGAAGAAGAATAGGAGAGGAAATTAAGAGAATAATTTATTTTTTAAAATTTAATTTTCTCATACTATTCTTATACAAATTAATGTTTCTCTTTAAATTTCCTCCCCAAAATCTAAATACACAGAATAATCTGGAAAGGAATTTTCTTAAGATGTGTTTGTAGCCGCCATATATATATATGATCCAGAAAATTGGGCAATTCCTTCTCTCTTTTTTCTCAAACAGCATATACCAATCAATTAATGAAGTTAATTTTTATGCAAGCACCATTCAGAAATTTTTCATATGATTAAAATTTTGATTTTTTTTAAAATATTATTTTAATATATTATAAAATAAAAATTACTTTGCAACACTACCAAAAGTAGAGGTCAAACCAACTAGCACTTCATTAAACGGAGGGGAGCACTTTATTTAACAGCGGGGAGTCCACTTGTCAGCAGAGCACTAGCATTATTTATTTACATGTCAACATGTACATGACAAAACTCTTTCAAAAACAGAAGGCCAAAGCGCCTGAAACCTCCCCCCTCCGATCACCATCTCATGCATAAGCACGGCCTTCTCTGCGCTGCCTTCTTGGCCCAGGGAAGAAGAACTCTTCTTGTTGTTTTCCGAAAATTTGGTCCACTTCTTTTGCTGGCACACCATAGGCCAACTCTTTCGCTTCCCTGTCCATCTCGCCGATAACGTTCCATTTCCCTTGTAACACAAAGGCATGCTTGGATAAGCTTACATGCAGAGAGAACACATGCAACGTACATACATTTTACATCTTTTTTTTTTTTTTTCAATTGAGGGGGTGCGTAGCATTCAATTACCTGCAAGAGGGTATCTTACGTTTCCTTTTGCATAGACCTCAAAGGAAAGTACCTCCAGGTTGCTATTTTCGGAAGCCATGGTGGCCACGGGATGACCGGCAGGGACAATGAAGACACTGCTGCGGCTCAAACGCGAGCTTGTCCTCTGGTAAGTTTGACCACCCTTTCCTCTCCTTGAGCCCTCGCTTTCAATGTATCCCATGCTTGAACCAGAAGATGAGTCGCGAGGACATGCCATCTCGAAGTATCCCTCACCTTCCATAACAATGGATATCATGGTTGCCTTTGAGTTGTAGTAGGGTCCGGCCATAGATCCCTGTATACAAAAAGAAATGGAGGGAGGATTCGGATTAAATGGATTTATAACATTTTTATATCAAAAGAAATACACATTAGAGGCAAATCTGATTAGGAATAAGAGGGGATAAATATACTCGAGTGATGTTGGCCGAAGAGACTATAAGGTCAAGGTCCCTGAGCTGCTCGCTATCTTTAGGTCTGGCTTCAAAGAGTTGGCCATAGTTGTTTCTTTTGACAGGACCCTTGTCGAAAATATTGAATGGGCCGCTTGACCCACCTGTTGGGAAAGGCCACAGGCCACCACCGCCATGACCACCTTCCTCACCTTGGCCCAAGGCCTGGATCTGTTCCTTGGAAGCTTTGACAATTCCTCCTTGCTGTTGTTTGAAGATTCTCTCCAACCTTCCTCTATCAGTCTGATCAATTGATAAACAGGCATGACAGAGAAAGACTTAAACATAATTATAATGGAGAAAAGTCAACTATAGGTCTAATATGCACTCACCTTAAGAGCAGCCTCAAGCAACTCCCAGCTGAATGCCTTGAAAAAGGACTCTGCATCTTCACCACCCGCTCCATGGAATGCCTGCATCATAAACCATCGTAATCTATAAGCCATAGGAACATTGAAAACAATAGATTCTGGATTCAATCTTTTTAGCAACCATCAGTGAGTCTTTTGTTATTGGAAATCTTAATCGATAAAATTTGATATCGCACTTAATTACATTGAAATTGTCAGGAAGATTAACCGGCCAAAGGATCTTGGCAACACGAAGTTTCTCGTTTTCATCTTTATTAACCATATAAAAAGTAGTTCCTGCAGGAACCCTGAAAACATCTCCACGTTCAAGGCTATAGGTCTGTTTATCCTCTTCATGGATCAGAGTTATAGCCCCTCGTCCTACAATGTATAAAATCAGTAATGAAACATTATTGGTTAGTAAAAATATCCATTGTGATAAAATGTGTTAACAAGTAGAGAATTGCAGATAGATTGTAGCTATATGAGAAACCACAGGCATACCCTTAGCAACAAACAGAACAAACCCAGCATCCAAGTGGGTTGGAGCTATAAATGCTTGAGGATTAGCTTCAATTATTGCCACCCGGATATTCTCTAGTCCTCTGAGAAGCTTTGATTTCTTCGTGAATTTTTGAAGGACACGAACTCTTCCGTGTTCAGTCTCAACTTCAGTTTTCAAATGCCTATCCTCAAATACATAGGGATTCCCCTCTTCCTCCTCTTCTTCCATGTTCCCCACTTCTTCTCTTCCCGGTCCTCTCTCATACTTCTCCTGGCACCTTAGGCTACACAACGATTTCTGTTCTCCTCCTGCCTGCCTCTGGCATTCCTCTAGGCACTGCCCCAGCTTCTTTTTTGCAGGATCAACCGTGAAGCTCCTCCATTCACCATCACCTTCTTCTTCTGTCCCACTTGTTTTACGCTCTGGCTCTTCCTTCCTTCTGAAGTGCTCCTCAGTACAGTCTCTCAGGCACTTCTCAACCTCTCTCCCATCATACCCCAGTTGCTCTTTGCATTGGCGCTCGCAAACCTTGAGTTCCAGGTCTTTGTTGGCTTTAGCTATTCCAACGCACAAAGCCAAAAGAGCGAAGACTAAAACTGCTGAAGAAAGCCTCACTTTCACAGCCATATTTGTCACTACAGACAGAAAATTGTGCTATCAAAGCTGCAGGGAATGGAGATCGCGGATTGCATGTTATATAGCTGGGGATAGAAGGAGCAATGAAGTGACAAGAACGGGAAGTGAAAAGCATGCATGAAGACGAGTGTCAAAGTAACGTGTCTATCATGCACAGTATCAATCGCCGCGTATAGCAATTGCTGACAAGAACAATTTTTCAAGTCTTGCTGCGAGAAAGCAAGGCAGCTGTGTGGGGTCTGCGCTTTAGCTTTTTTTTTTGTTTTTTGCATAAGATATTCATGTAACCTCCCAAGTGCCTGCTTCGCCAACAGTCAGTGTCGCACTTCATTTCGCAGGAGGAGTAACCATTAACCTCACTTTTGCACTTGTCCTCGCAGTCATTGAAACATGTTTATTGATCATCCACTGGGCTAGCCTAGGACAGATGCATTGCTGCAGCAACAACAATGCATAAGAGAAAAACTGCTGCAAGTTTGTTGGCCATATTGTCTTTGTTAATTTTTCTCTGTGTCTCCTCTCTTGACTTGATGGATGATATGTGAAGGAGAGGAATGGACGATTGAGGTGTTTATTGGCTCACAAAGTCTAGTTTTATAGCGTTTAAACCCCTTTTTCCTGGCAAAAACATGTAGAAGATATTCCCTTGCGGCATTTTGGGATTTGTAAAAAACATCGAATGGTAAGTGCAAAACAACTTGGTCAAACTTCCTTGTAAACATCACTAATTTTAGCTACTCATACCCCCTAAAAAAAAGTGTGTTTTAAGTAGTTATTTTTTAATTTTAAAATATATTAAAATAATATTTTTTATTTTTTATTTTTTAAAAATTAACATTAATAAATCAAACAATTTTAAAACATAAAAAAATATTAATTTTCATCAAATGGCGTTAATATTTTGAGTACCATCCTTCTCGACTTTCAAAACAGGAAGACGAGGGTGTGCTTTATATCAACTGGGTTCTTAACCAATAATTAAAAAGGGCGTTTTGCATGGGCCAATACATTTCTAAATAAAAAGCTAAAATGGGCTTTTATAATCGGACCAATACAGAAATTTTACTTGTTGCTTGCTTGTTTGTAGGACTGTCACTGGATTAATTTAATGTAATTAAATAGATTTGGAATAAAACTTTCATAACTCTACGATGTTTTGAACCGAGTATATCAACATATTTATTGAATTGATCATAAATAAATTTACCTCAATCTGGTCCAATAATAATATGATCAAAGTTAATATTATTTCTAATAAAATATATTTAGCTTGCTTTATATATATATATATTAATTTTATCATTAAATATTGTGCTTATAAGTAATTAGAATACATATTTTATTTAATTTATTTTTTAGAGGTTATTGGTTATCTTAGTTTTATAATCTAAATCCCGAGTTTGGTGAATTACTTAGTTTGACGAATTAATTTAGATTGACAAGAGTTTTTTTAATTAATTTTTTTTAATTTCATCCTTAACATTAAGTTTATTGGAAATTAAGTATCATTATTTATTTTAATTTTTTTTATGAGATTATTTTGAACTCATAACCCAAGTTGTGGGTTTGGTAGGTTAATTCAAGTTAACTTGGTTTATTTTTTGTTTTTTTAATTGATTTTTTAAAATCTTATCCTTTAGCATTTGATTGATTAAAAATTGAATTTCATAATTTTTTTAATTTTTTTTATAAGGTTGTCACAATTCCATTACCCGAGTAGTAAATTTAACAGGTTAATCCAGATCAATCAAATATATTTTTAAGATTTTCATGAAAAGTGTTTTTCAATCTTTTAAATTAAAAAATTACTTTTTTCAGTCTAAAATTTATGTTTTTCTTTGATCAAAAAATAAAATTTTCAATGATGCAACTAAACATAAAAAAAGTCAAGAAAATACTTTCTAGAAAAACAAAAACATTTTTCAGCAAAGAAACATGAACTAAATAGCATTCTATACTTTTGTTCCGTCTTTTTCCCTCTACCTGGATGACTATTATTTTAAACAATTACACGGCAGGGCTTTTTTGAATCCCTTTTCAAGTCTCAAATTAATTAATTTATTGAAAAATCCTATAAATATAAAGAAAAAAATTAATAAGTTGTTGCTAGTATTATTCTGGTTTCTAATTTAAGTATGAAGTTTTGATTCAATTGGAATTATGTTATTTGTAAAACATTAATACTTTTTTCCCCATATTAATAAGTTAGTGCCTAGAGTAGGTATTTTTTTTCTTTAACTTTGTCATACTTCTTGTCTAATTTAAATTAATTTTGATTTTTAATATAAATATTTTATATAGATTATTTGATTCTGTCTTATCAATGATGAGATATCTTGATTTTTTTTTAAAAATAGACGTACTAATATTATATATTTTCTTATGTATGCAATAGACGAAACTAAGCATGGTTTAAATACAATCAACACATTTTATTTAAACAAAACGAATGATAAATTTAGTAGATATCCAAATTAATATGATCCGAACATGTTAAGATCTGTATTAGGATGGACAATCACAAAATCTTAATTTCCAATTCATAAGATATAATTTGACTCGTTTATTAAATAAATATCTGCTGTGATCCGGGGTTTGAAATGGAACTGTCGACAGCACTGCTTACTTGCCTGCTCTCCCGCCATGGATTCTTTCTTGTCTAACGCGCAAGAAAAGTCGCCGCTTCACCCCCTCTAGTTTTTCACTTTCAGTGCCTGGGAAAATTAAAAGAAAAGAAAAGACAGAGAGATGAAGCAAAAACAATGAAATGCTTGTTAGGAATGGTAGGAGATAGATTCGCTCTGGTAGTGACTGAGACGTCATCCGTTCACAGAATTTTAACGAGGACAAGGACATGATCACCGTCCTCTGCATGGGGTGAAGCTAGTGGCGAGAGCGGACGACGGGTCTCTATCCTGTTTCACTTCTATTATTGCATCTCTTTTATTTTTTGTTTTTAATAATAAATTATTTCTATATTTCCTTCGTTAATTACTAGGTTTATCCAAGTTGTCAGGCGCAATGCGTTATTGCAACTTGCATGCGGTGAGTTAAACTGCCTAGGACAGGTTTGGAAAAATAGGAAGTACGAAATTCAGAATTGTGTTTGTTGTTGGAATGATCCTGTACGCATTTTCAGACATTTGATATGGCTGGTTTCTTGTCTCTGATTATAATTCTATCTCCTCCTGGCAGGTAAGGCCAGAGGACAGGACAATCTCTTACCTGCCTTTGACTATACTGTCACTCTTCACGAGATTGATGTGTACTACCACAGTTCAAGAATCTATCGATTTGGTAGAAATGGTAGCGGCTTCTCCAAATATCGTAATCAATATTGTTGACAGAGACAGTGCAAGGGAATATGCCTGGCTGACTCGATCAGACAGTGATGCCATAGCCTAAAGTTCGAGTTCGGTACGGGCATTTATCTCCTAATTCTGGTTTTCCTCCAAAATTTTCAGATTTAGGCAGCCACGTCAGTTTATGTGTTTAAGAGTTTTTCTGCGCTTCAAATTTTCAATGCTGTACGACATAGAATTCTGAAAAGGTTTATCCAATGGAAGTTCATAACATCAATTAAAGCAATGAGAAAATGTGAAGTATTTCTTTATTTTTTCTGACAACATGACATGGAGCTCTATTCAATAAGTTTGCACACCAACATAAACGGAAACAAACAGGGAGGAGAGGTTGTAGCTTAATAGAATTTGAAAACCATGATTGCTAGAAATATTAGCAAGGAAGATGGTGGCGAAACATAGGATGGCATGGATGCTGAGGGGGATAGTACTGGTCGGATCCCTGCAGTTGTTGGGGGGGCTTCTACTGGCTCTGGTGGGAATGCTGGTGTTAATGGCAGAGTAGTTTCAGATTCTGGTGCTGGAGCAAGTGCTACTGCTTTGGAAGCTGCAAAAAGTAACTTGGTAATTAGTAGGTCAGGTATATCACACTCGACATAAGTACTGTACTCTTACTGGTACAGGAGCTTTCAAGCTATTCTTCGCTGATAGGTACATTTTTTCAAAATGTAAGAGCGGGGTTTACCTCGGGGGCTTAAAGGAGAAGCGGCTGTGGGTGGAAGAGGTGGCCCTAGTAAGACGGGACCTGCCAATGTTACAGTGAAACAAATTCTTAAACCAAGATAGGAATATTTGTATTAGGTTCACAATAATAAATATAGATTATGTTTTAGTTTTCAAATATCATCTTCTTTTTTCCAGCGTAATTAAGAATTGCAGAGGACTTTCAGTTACCTGGTGCTGGTAGAGGGGTCCCAGATGCTGCAAAACACAATGCAATCACCATTAGAGAATTTAACACACATTGACAGAGCTAGAAAGATTCTTAGCATGTATAATTTAAGTCCTACCTTTACACAGCACTGGCACCCCACTCATTTTACATGCTCGGGGGAGAGTGATTGCTAAAGTACGGTTAATCGGTAGTTGAATAGGCACGCTGGCTGTTATTAATAGACAAGCACAGTCCATACCATTGCTCATGAGGGACTTAAATGAACTGCAACAACTACCAGTTGGTGATGAGCCATTGTTGCTGCTTCCAGTTATAAAATTTATGCACGGGGTGAAGCTACTTATCATCGAGGATGTGCATGGTGTGCTAATTTGCCCATTCACTGAAATTACCAGCAGAGTTGATAATGTTGCGATCAAATTAAAAACGTTGAGCCCTTCCATGAGCAGTTACGAATGAGCTTCAAATGTTTTTGATTAGAAAAGAGTACAGAGAAGAACTGGGTTGCTTGGACGGAGATGAAGAAAACCATTTATAGATTGGCAGGGACAAAAGAATTGGAGGGAAAGAACAGGTAGATTTGAAATGGGTTCTGGAGTTCAACAACTATAACTAATTTCCCATGGTTGAAGCAATCCTTTTATTTATTCCCTTGAGTCTTTAGGCCTCAAGGAACAGGAGTTCAAGTTAGGTATGTTAGGCATGCCGGTCATAGTTTAAAATTTGTTATTTTCATACGAGTCAAACCAACGTCTATCGTAGGTAGATTGCATCATTTGTTTCTGTTTTAACCGTCAATATATTCAAGCCAAGACTAGAAATTGTGTTATGCTTCCCTGCACTTGGCAGAAAAAAAGTCTCTCATACATTGCAGGTTATTTTCCATATAACGAGTCTATATAGAAAGTTATTTTACGGTACAAGTAATCTCCTTCATTTCCTAAAAATCAGCATTTATCTTTGATAAAATAATATTTAATAGTTAATATTAAAATTCCTAAGTTTCACATATTTTTAGATTATATATGGTAACATCCCCTCTTAAATTGATATTGGTAAGTCAACCAACAACAATTTACAAACAAGAAATTGATGCCGCTATTAAGTCATAGTTTTAATGAAAACATTAACTATTTGGAGATCGAAAGATATACAAGAAAGAGATGTCATCTGATTTTTCAAGGTGTTGCGAATAGAATGACAATCAACCTTAATATATTTGGTGCGTTCATAGAAAATAGGATTGATGGCCATTTGAATAGCACTAATATTATTAAGATGCAGTGAGGTAGAGATGACTTGAGAAAATCCAAACTCTTCTAGAAAACCTCACAATAATATAATTTCAGAATAAGCAATAAACATGGCACGATATTTGATCTCAGTGGAGGATTTAGAAACACGATCCTATTATTTACATTTCCAACAAATTAAGGCATCACCTAAAAACATATGCTAGCCTATAGTATATTAATGTGTATCCAGATACCTAGCCTAATCACCATCATTATAAGCAACAAGTTAAAACAAGGAGTCAATAGGAAAGAATAACTCATAATTAGGTAAGCCTCGAAGATAATAGATGATGCATCGAATTGCAGCAAGATAGAGATGTTGAGAAGAAGACATAAACTGGTTGACCTTATGGACAACATAGGATATATCAGGTCGAATAGTGGTCAAGTATATAAGACTTTCACCCAAACTTCTATAGAGAGTAAGATCATCTAAAAAGTATCTTTATTTTTTCTGTATTTGACATTTATTTGCATAGGAATATCAACAAAAGAAGTGTCCTCCAAACCAGCAAAGGTGATAAGATCTTTAATATAATGATGTTGATTCATGAAAATATCATTATGTTGATGATGAACTTCTAATTCTAAAAAGTATATGAGTTGGCCAAGATCTTTGATATGGAAAGTTGCATGTAATTATTGTTAAAACCATAACCAATGTCAATAATGATAATATCATCCACATATATCAAGAGAAGGACTATACCTGAAGCAAATATGTGGAAAAAAAGAAAAAGTTCATACTGGCTTGGTGAAAAACTGAAAGAAAGAATTGTATTGTGAAACTTCTCAAACCAAGCCCGGGAAGCCTATTTAAGCTCAAACAAAAAATGTCTTAGCTTATAAATATTACGAGGAGAAAAGGTAGTCATACTAGATAAGAGCTTTATTTGAATATCTTCCTAGAGATCACCATAAAGAAAAGCATTTTTCATATTCATTTGATACAATTGCCATAACTATGAAGTGTTATAGCTAAAATGGTTTAAATAGTGGTCATTTTGCAACATAAAAAAATATTTCCTCATAGTCAACCCCATATTTTTGTTTGTTACCGAGAGCTACGAGACGAACTTTGTAACATTCTAAAGACCCATCAGAACATAGTTTTACAAAGAAGATCTATTTACTCCCAATAGATTTGATTGTAGGAGGACAAGGAACAATATCCCAAGTATGATTCTTCTCATGTGCTTGAAGTTCTGTTTGCATTGTATTTTGCCAACATGTATGTTTTATGAACCATTTGTAAAAAAAAAAAAAAGAATGAAAATAGTGGTAAGAGAGACATGAATAAAAAATTCATACCAATCAAGGGGTCGAGAAAGATGAGTAGACTGACAAAGAATGGTGGAAATAAGAGTAGAATCACACACCGGGTAAAGATCGAAAGGAGATACAAGGAAAGTGGAATCAAACTCATGTCAATAACTTCTTTCATACATAAAGCTAGGCCTGAACCTTTCCACCATTGTTGTGGAATCAGAAAAATTAGGCAAAAAATGTAAAGATACAAATGGCAATTCAATATAAAATGGAAATAAATATTGGTTTTCAAAGAAAATCACATTCTTAAAAACCTGTATATGACAAATATAAGGATCATAACATACATAATCCTTTGAGGGATAACATAACCAAGAAAAACACTCTTAACAAATTTAGCAATAAGTTTATATCGTTCACGAGTAGAGAGATGTATAAAACAAACACAACTAACAGGGAAATACATAAAACAAACATAACCAAATATATGAATATCAGAATATAAAGGAGAATGACCAAATAACTTAAAGAAAAAAGAAAATATTATTTAATGTAGGAAAAGGTAAACAATTAATCAAATGAATTGAAGTAGAAAATACTTCACACAAAAAACAAGAGGGAAGAGATGATTCAAGTATAAGAGTTTTTACTACATCTACACCATTTTGTTGTGTTGTTGAAGAACAAGAACATTGAGAGATGATTTTTTTGCTTTGAAGAAAGCCTTAAAACTCATTAAACATGTATTTATCATTAGAATTAGAGTGCAAGACCTTGATGCTTGTGGAAAATTGAGTTCAAGAAGTGCAAGAAATCGCTTAAAAACTAAAAAAAAACTTCATCTTTAGTTTAGAGGAAGTAAACCCACGTAAAACAACTAAAGTCAGCAATGAAAGTAATAAAGTATTTGTAATGCATGAGAAACAACATGTGCAATCCCCATACATCATTATAAATAATATCAAACCATTTGGAGGCACAAGATACATGATAAGGAAAAGATAAAACTTTACTTTTACCAAGTTTACATGATATACAATCTAAAGAAAGATCAAGATAAAAACATATTTTGTTTCCCAATAATCCATAATAATCAAAGTGCAAAGTACATCAAAGTTTGGATGGCTTAGATGTTTATGCCATCTCTTATTTTTAGAACCAATAAATTTGCATACAAAGGAAAGTAAAGAAAAACTAGAAATACTAGTGGAATGAAAAACATGAAAAGTAAAGAGTTTTTCCATTTTAGGCCCCTTCACGATCATCTTTCCTGACATTTGATCTTGTACAGCATAACTAGAATGAGAGAAATAAACATCACAATTATTATCAACCAATTAAACAACAAAAATAACATTTATGGAGAGGTCAAGAGATAGAAAATCAGTTAAAAAAGGATAAAGATCACCAACAACACTGATAGGCAAAGAAATTTCATTAGCGGCACTAATTTTAGCTTTCTATTATAATTTCTGACATTGGAAAGAGGAAAATAGTATTGGTCATATGGTTAAAAGCACCGTGGTCCATATATTATGGCTTATAAAGAAGTTTATGATTACTTGAGAATTCAAAAGCAGAAATAATCATTTGTTATACCATTTCAGAAATGAAAGCATTCAGGTTTGCGAAGCCTATAGAAATAGGAATAGGAACAACAAGTAAGGTAATAGGCAATGCAGCAGAACCAAAGGTATCAATTAAGGTATGATAAATAGTTCCTTGTTTCATTTAAGGTTGATAGGACAAGCAGAGATGATATGACCATGTTTTTTATAATAGTTGTAGAATTGTTTGGGGCAATCTCGAGCAATATGATCATAAAGAAGTTTGCTTAAACAGGCATCCAAGATGGTACAGGATGATGATTCATCAAATTAAAGTATATAGTTTCAAAATCAGTACGAAGCTTCATCAGGAGTTGATTTTTATTGCTTGTGTTATACACTGCTTAAATAACAAAGAGAGTTACAATAAGAACATTAGCATAAACAATATCTAAATAATTAGCCTAAAGATTTTAAAAACCAGAAATGTATTCATCAATAAAGAGACTTCCCTACATAGTGTTAATTATCTCATACTCTAATTGAAAATAATGAGTTGTGTTATTCTGATTATAAATTTTATTTAGATAATTCCATATAACAACAACAATTTTATAAGATCTCAATTTGAGAACAGGATGAGGTTCTATTGAGCTAAAGATCCAGGTCATAACTAAGCATCCATGATTTTCCATCTAAACATGTATCGGTATCTGTAGGTGCGGGATTACTCCCATTAATATGCCCCTACAATTCTTTCCCTTCAAAGAATAATTAAAATTAAAACTCCTAGCAGAATACCTTTTTCATTAAAACAGATATGGAACAAATCTAGCTTATCGGAATACATGATAAAGTTGAAAAGAAATAGATTTTAAAACTAAAATTTACAAGGAATCAATGCAATGGAAAAGGGATACAGACCAAATTCTAAAGCTAAGAGCTGCCGAGAATAGCAGCAAAGAGACTGACTTGAAACTACTGAGAATAGCAGCAGAAAACCAAGATCTAAAACAATCAAGAATTCCACTAGAAATGTAATATCTGAAACAAAAAAGAATGATTTCGAAACTACCGAGAACACTACCAAAGAAGGAAGATCTGAGCCTGCCAAGAATAACACTAGAGAAGCAAGAAAGAATTATAGATTTTAAAACCAAGAACTGTCAAGAATAACAATAGAGAAGCAAGATTTGAAACTGTCAAAAGTGCAACACAGAAGCTAATTTGAAACATGAATAACACAAAGTTGGAAATAAGAATCCAACAACCACTCCTTCTCTCTCGCCTACACAATTTTTACCGGGAGTAATATGAAAAGAATGGGTTCAAGATGAGCAAGGCAACAACAATAAAAGATAAAGGAAAAATCAGGACTTAGACAAGCAAGGATTTGGAAGAAGCTTTGATACTATGTTAATATATTCAAACCAAAACTAAAATACCGAGAGAGTTAATCAATTCATTAACTTTGCATTATATTTTATTTCCATGCACTCGGCAGAAAAAAGCCTTTTATAAATTATAAGTTATTTTCTATATAACAAGTTTACATATAAAATTATTTTGTTATATAAGGAGTCTCTTAAGAATCACCATTTATCTATAATAAGATATTTTTTTTATAAGGAGTCCAAAGGAAAGTCCAACTTGATGGTCTTAGTACTTCCCTGACAATATGCATGGTTATGTTAAAAAAGGTCATTCATTGTAATGACTTTAAGAAGAAGCTCATCAGAAAACTATTGAAGTGGTGACCAGGGACGATTCCCCTCGGCTAAAAAACTTTGCCCCTTCCCCGTTATAATTGCTCCCTTTTCTTAGAAACTCTCAATTTATTCCTAAAAAAAAGAAAATCTTAAATCATTTTTCCCTAAATCTTTACCTTCTCTTTCATGAGCATAGCAATTACTAGGAGGAAAGTGGGATTGAGAGAAATAGCAATGCCTGTGCACATTGAAACCTTGTTTTGCTCTGAGGGAAAAGATAGGAAATCCAATCATGCATAGAGATAGCTGTAAGGCCAGGATATGCTTGTGGATTGTTAATTAATGATAGTTCTTTGGTAGACATAATATAGCAGAACAGAACATTAAAATATATATGCTAAGGACAAATGAAAACTTGTCGTCATCGTTATGCCGAGGGCTGGCTGTTCAGTTATATAACAACCCTTTGATATAGTTAAAGTTGGTCATCTAAATATACCAAAAACCTCGTCTCTTTTCCATGAGCTTTCCTATATAAATCCAGTCCCTTCTTTTCCCTTTAACTCAAACTTCAAAGCTCAGAATTCCAATCATACATTCGACTTTCACAACCAGATCATTCTAGCCATCCAAAAATTTGCAGCTGCAGTCAATGGCTTCAAGTGGGATTCGCATGGGTCTAGTCCTGGTCCTTGTGGCCATAACTTGTGGTGGAGCAATGGCTCAATCAAGCTGCACTAATACTCTCATGAGCCTGGCTCCGTGCCTGAACTACATCACAGGAAATTCATCAAGTCCATCATCCTCATGCTGCTCACAGCTAGGAAATGTTGTCCAAACATCACCACTATGCCTTTGTTCACTACTCAATAATAGTGGTGCCTCATTAGGTATCCCCATAAACCGGACTCTTGCTCTGAATCTCCCTGGCGCTTGTAAGGTGCAAACCCCATCGATCAACCAGTGCAAAGGTAATCCAAATCTTTAACTCTTTCTGGTGAATGTTATAAACAAGGGATGCTAGATTCATACTGACTTGACTTTGGCAATGGTAAAACAGTTGCCACTGCACCCACAGCTTCAGCAACTCCACCTGTAAGCTCACCAGCCAGTTCGCCAGCAGATTCGTCTACTCAAACACCCGAACCAGATATTATTCCATCAGCGTCAGACATTCCTTCAGCTTCAGGTATGTTCAGGAAATGTAAATCGTGCAAAAGCCTTTCAAGCTTAGCTGGATAATGTACTTGATTTCTACGTACTAATCGGGAATTGAATTTTGATCTTTGATCATATGAATGAAACAAAACGTAATTTTGGCTTGAACCAAAACTCAAACGACTGACACCTAAAATTAAAGTGCATACATGAAAGCACCAGACTAAGCAATTCCAATTTATAAATGTTAATAGGAATGGTTTCTGAAGTCAGCTCTTAATTGTAAATACAGGAACTGGAAGTGGCTCTAAAACTATCCCATCATCAACCGGAACGTCTGACGGAAGTATTGTCAAAGCACCCCTTCAGTTTGTGCTCTCCGTTCTCTTTGTGGCATGGTGTGGTTCAACTGTTACCAAATTCTGAGTCCAAAAGGTGGTTTTTGGAATTGCACTTTGGAATTTTTCAGAGTGATTTGTAGCCTGTTGTATCATTGATTATGATTACCTGATCCTATTTTTATTTTATTTTTTACTATACTGTTAAGGGTGATTCTTGTTGCACTTGTACAGTGTGATTGTATTTTTTGTTCGATTTGCTTAATGAAGAATGAAAACCATATTGGTTCCTTCAAGGAAAAATGTCAAAAACCATTGTCACTATCCTACTTGGCTTCCGCCTGCATCACTTCTTCTACCATCAGATTGCCGTGGAGTACTGAGATTTTCACAGGCTTGCATTGATAAAAATTTACGAAGTCTGAAATGAGTGGAAAGATGACAGGAGAGTAGAATCATCAGCAGTGCGAGCAAAAATGAAAAGAAAAGAAGAAAACTTAAATAATACGAACCCAAATGATCGGAACATTTAACGTGGTTATGAAACTTTCCAATCGCAGATAACATTTCTTGAAACTAGCCGACCAGATGATAGGGGATGCACTTTGGCAGACCAAATTATGATCCAAAAGAGAAACCTTGTTTGGAGTATCAAACTGTCTTGCCTCCAAGCTCCAAGTTTAAATACAAAATTTTGGCCTAAATATTTAAAACACGAGGCACCCGCATTTCAAACTGACAGAATCATATGTTACAGGTTATGAGAACAAGCCGCTATTTTGATCCTCTGTTTTTGCAACATACTTACAGAAGAAATTGAACAGTCTCATCCACTAGTACCCACAGGTTATATGCATGCGATTTATTTACAACTTTTTCAAGCTTGATCAGTCTTTCAAAATGAGTTAGGATGTTATTTTACCTGTACAAACACAAAGCCTCACAAGTCACAAGTAACGAACCCAGTTTCTTGGATATTGGTTTTGACATTTGGATTGTCTTCAATTTGTATGCTTATTGGTCAGCACCCTGCACACTCCCGTCGCTTAGAACTGACTGGTGGGATTTGTTTTGAGTTTCTTGTGGGCTTTCAGCTGAAGGCAAACCATATTGTTTCAACTTGCGAGAGTGAGAAGCTACTTCTGTTCCTGTATTGTATTTGAATTCTGTTCCTGTCTTGTATTTGAAAGCATGAAACATGCAATTTTCAGCAACTCACACGCACAGTTGTGAGACCCTGCTCCGGGACCTGTTCGAGAAAAAGTTGCAAGTTACTGGATCATTAAGTTAACTTAAGGGTTAACGCTCAACCGTTTTTATTAAAATGGCGTTGTTTCCTTCTTTCTTTTTCTTAAAAAAAATATTGATGTTGGCAGATTGGATTTGGACATATCAGCTAAATCATTAAAAACTCAGTTATGCTAGGGTTCCATTGAATCAATATCTTTTTTGTTTAACAATGATGCTGACAGTGACTGTTGCCTGAAATCAAGAAACTACAAAAGAGTTGAGACATGGCTTAATATTTATGGATAGACATACAGTGACATCAATTATAGAAACATCAAATGGCTAGAAGAACAGAATTAAGAATTGCTAAAAAAGAGGAGCATTTCAGATTCAATGATAGGCTGATCTGACTTTCTAATTTTATTCTAAAAAATTACTGTTAGAATATATTCAAGTTATTGGAATAAAAACAGACAGCATATTTGAAATTCAAGTTGCAGAAATTTATCCAGGTTTATGTAAATAGCTTTGGCATGAATAGGAAGATTGTCTAAACCATAAACATGGGTTCATCAGATAGGAAATTAAAAGCTGAGCGCGCATAGGCATCAAGCTGAAAGTCGAAATCATCTTTCACCATTTACCATCCATTGAAATCGATCAACTAGGAATGGCTTGAAGGAGAGATATCAAAACATACAGTGATGATGTAGGACAACATGCTGTCTAAGCAGAAGATCTACAGGGTCTAATTTTCAGGATTTAATATTAGTACTGGTAATTTCGGCGCTGTTGAAAAAGTACTTCTTTTTGGGAGTTTCCTGATGGGTACACCCTAAAATCTCTAGGCTTATTCATCAACCAGCCTGTTACCCTGGGATGAAGCTAGAGATTCCCAAACTAAAATATGAAATGAAAGATATAAATAATATTACTTTTTTTTTAATTTTTAGGTATTGTCTTGATTTTACAGGCTTTTTATCGCCTTTGACAACACTATATTGACCATGGAAAAGCATTAATTTACACATAGAAGATGACACCTCCTTCCACAAAAAGAAAGTATTAATACTACAAAGCCGGCGCTCTGCATGATTAGTTTTACGCCATCATCAGCATTTGGTTTATTTGGTGTGGATTCTGCGATGAAAAGCAATGCAAAGCTGAACAAACCAGAGAGAGACACTTAAGTTTAACTTATTAAAATAAATCTGTCTCTGTGCAGAAGGTGAGTTGTTCACCAAAGATTATAAAATTAAGTAGGAATATAGGTAAACCATATTAGCCAGTTTGTTTACAATCTTCCCCTTTATTAACCACAGCCTTTTCATTTCCTACAAGCCACGAAAACTTTTCTTCTGTATCTCTCAACCATTGTTGCCAGGAATTTCTATAGAATTGACCCAATGGCAGTTAGAAGGATGGAGGTCATGCTTGCTATATCCCTTATAGCAACTTTGTGGGCAGGAGCCATGGCACAATCATCTTGTACCAATGTGATCATAAGCATGTCCCCATGTCTGAACTACATAACAGGAAACTCATCGACCCCGTCTTCATCATGCTGTACACAGCTAGCTAATGTTGTCAAGTCGCAGCCTCAATGTCTATGTGAGGTCGTTAATGGTGGTGCCTCCTCACTTGGAGTCGATGTTAATCAGACTCAGGCTCTGGCCCTCCCTGGTGCTTGCAATGTCCAAACTCCCTCTATCAGCAACTGTAATGGTAAGCAATTGCAAGCAATCCAAATTCTAAGATCATTTTCTAGCAATGCAAATAGCTAAATATTCATTTTATCATCTGCTCAAACAGCCTCTTCGCCCACAGATTCTCCAGCAGGAACACCAAATTCTCCTTCTGCAGGTACAAGATTCAATTAGATTTTCCAATTTCCGACTTGAACTTACGAACAATATAGGTTTTTCGGTTACTCCTGGTAGCAGAACCACCGTACAAGAGCCCAATGTTAATACTTTACTGTGTAATGGGTGCAGGAACAGGATCTAAGACAGTGCCATCAACAGATAATGGAACATCAGGTGCAAACTCTACGAAGTTGACAGTGTCTCTGCTCTTCTTCCTACTCTTCATCACATCACAAGCTTCGACCCTCCGCACCATATAATATAAGCTCCATCTACTTGAAATTCTGCTGAGTCTTTTGCTACCGCAGTTCATTAGTACTGTTGACGCAACAGAGGAGTTCAAATATTCCCTTTTCTTTTGGTAACATGATTCTTTATTTTGGGATACCATGTGGACTTAGATTTGTATACTCCTCTATTTCCAATAAATAAAATATTCTTGGTTTTCCACACTGTTCTGAAGAATAATTAGAGGGAAATTTTACTTGCTGGTATCGAAATGAAATTGTTAGATTTTAACTTATAAGAAATAAAATTATTATGAATTCTCTGATACTGATGATACAGATAGCAATTTCTTAATCGGATTAGAGAGGTAAATCTAGCCTCAGATTAACAAAAAGAAATCATCACTCCATGGACACAGAGGGATAAAAACATTGGTGACTAACAAGCAGCAAATCATCAAGAAAAAGAGAAAATATTAAGAGATTTTGACTAATCAACCATGTTTCTAGGGAGTCAAGGAAGCACATGCATTTTCTCCCTTGCACTAATTCTTTTTCTTGTAATTTGAGGTGATCTTTCTTTATTGTTTTCTCTTAAACCACTCTTAATTTCAAATTGGATCGGGAATTCAATGGTAAATTTCTTGGGACCATTACAAATGGCTTGACAATGGAATCCACCGGCACCCAGAACACCAGAAGCACATGCATTTCAACACAGCACTGCTTATTTTTCCATGCATTAGAGATCCAAATAGGAAGTCAAACCGCACTGCCTTGGTGAGAATTCCAGTCACACACAAGCCATAAGCCACGCCATTTTCTACTGGGAAAGATGCACTGCAACATTAACTTTGTTTTGATTGGTCTCTTCTAAGGAGGCCTCTTTTTCCGGGTAAACGTCCGAGATAAGACATTGCCGTAGTATCTTTTTTCTACAAGATTGGGCAGTTCACGTGGGTTAATTAGTTTTATTTAAAAAAATATTATTAAATAAATCAAATCATTAAATTAAATTAAATTAAATAGATCAAGAGTTTACTTGTTGGGGGTGACTGGTCAACTAAATCAATTTAAGATTGATTTTTGAAAAAACCAGCCTCAGCGAAGCCCGGCTGGGTTTAACAACTGTGCTTAGTAAACAACATCTGTTGTTCTAGACACTGAAGACGTGATTAACTATATAATCCATGGAAAATAAGAATTATATAAGCAAATGACAAAAGACCAGAATCAAAAGCCATCGCAGTCCTTTGCCCCTGCCGTAAATTCTCAACACGCAAGTGGCTAGCTGGGAAAGAACATTAAAAACGACATGAGATCCTGCCAGAATTAATTCTTTGCATCTGTTGTGGCTCAAGTGGAAGGGTTGATTCCAAGACTCTAAGAAAGTGGGGTTCATTTCCTACCGGTGACATAATTTTAATGGGGGCCAGCTAGCTGTTAGAATCATCGATTTTTTTATTTTTAGAATATGGCATGGTTTTTTAAGATTGTTTTTTGTTTTAATATATATTAAAATAATATGTTTTTTTATTTTTTATATAGTATATCAAAAATATCTAAAAGCATTAAAATTAAAAATTAATCTAGAAAAAAAAATTAATGAAAAGCTGGTATCTATATCCTTAGGACTGTCCGTACTCCATTTGCTGTAATCATCTTGGGACAGCTTTGCTGGCTCCAAATGAGAGGAATATGAGTTTTGAGATTAAAAGTGAATTAACAAAGGTGGGACTTTAATTTTTAAAAGCTATTTGAAAAGTGGTAATTATTATTTTTTAAAAGTATATTTTATTTATAAATTTATTAAAATAATATTTTTTTAGTTTTTAAAAATTATTTTTGATATAAGTACATCAAAATAATTTTAAAATAAAAAAAATATTTTTTAAAATTGTATAAATAAATTCGGACGGATCAATATCTTGTAAAAAAATAATAAAATTATAATAACTATATTCCAAACTAATAGTTAGTA